TGTACCAGCAAATACAAGTAAATGGTCAATCTGTCTTTCCCCAAAGTCTACAACAACCTTACCAATTATTTGGCTTGGTTTCATTATAGTAGAATAACATTGCTCTTATGTAAGATCCTAAAACATATTATGTAATGTTTCAGCAGGACATTGTCTGCTCCGTAGATTCCAGTAGAAGGAGACATGAATCAGAACGGACATGATTTGATCCAGACTCTGGCTGAATTTCCAATATTAACAAAACTTTACAAAAAGGCTGCTTGTGGAATTAAATGTATGATTTGTTCGTACATACCAGCAGAATGTAGCCTCTAAGATGTTATAAGGTGATGAAGTAAAGACTAATTTCAGTCGTTACCTTAAATGGTTTTCCATGCTTGTTGTTTACAACCAATCAGGATATTGGCTATTTGTTTCAGCCATCAGCAAAATGGATGTTGGCGCAGTTTGAGGGAGGATCAGAGGGAGTGTGAAGGCAGTATATGTTTATTGTAAGTATTCATAGTACAGCTGAATGCAATTGTTGATGTGAAACTTGGCTCTGCCAGCTTTAGGAGTAATTGTTAATAGGTTCAGTATTTTCTGAAAATGCTTGTGCAGCGATGTTTGCGCACAGCTTTATTTTACAGCTGTTGGAAAAGTCAATGAAGATGTCAAAGTCGCTTTGAAAAAAGGCAACACTGACACTAACCTCTGGTGCATCCAAAACCTCCTCATAACTCTCTTTTATGTGCCACACTGTTACCTTTTCCCACGAGTAAGGCAGCGAAATGAAGACAAACAGAAACTGAAAAAAAAGGCTTTGACTTATTTCAAGATGTTCAGGAAGAATGAGGTTTGTTGTTATCCTTGCTTAGTCATTGGAGTTTTATGGACGCAGAGTAGAAAGATAAAGAAGCAGTTGTGTTATTTTAGAACCTGGTTCAAATGTTCCTGAAACAGTTTTACGGTCCACATGTTTAAAATAGAAGTAGACTGATTACGACACTTCTTGGTGCATATTGCTTTTGCAAACATCAATTATATGGAATATAAAATCTCCATCTCACAGGAATCTTAGGAACAATTTTTAAAACAAGTGGAAAATCAAATAAAGTGTTGTGTTTGAAATGTTATGCCTTAGTTAGTCATTTTTGAAGCAATTGACACTCAATTGACACACGCATTTCTTGATGTTTCTTCAATTATTACTAAGGAAACAGTTGAAAAAGACTATTAGTTTCCTCCACCAGAATTTGGTTCTAAAGATTTATTCGGAAATGCTAATTATTTTTAGTCTTGAAGACAGAATGTGAAATGTGCATCCCCCAGCTACACCACATAACTAACAATGACAGAGTAACAGAACAGCTAAAAGTGATGCACTACGTGTAGCGCTGACCTTTGCATTAACAACGCTTCCTGACTTGGGTCAATGGGTAGGGGTCAAACCAGAGGGGGCGGACCTGTGTAATTAGCTCGGACATGGAAAGCCTGCTCTAAATCAGAATAACGTCCAGTGTATTAGACTCTCCATAAATCTGGATGCCTTGGTTTCATTTGTGTCAGTGGGTAATATGTCTCTACGGTGATTAATGTTAACAATAAGGATGTGTGGCAGCTTTTACAATCCCGGTGGCCACAATAAGAATCAAAGCTCCGAATGTGGTCAAGTTGGCACCATTCGATACTAATTGAGCTAAGCACGACCACAAGTCTGTGGTCCAACTGCGAACACATGTCCATTTGTTTCACTGCTTTATTCGTGTGTTTGTAAACAAGTCGGGACAGTCCATGCACGACATCAAGGGAAGTAAACAAGCACAGTTTTATTGCTTACGGTCAGTGGCAGGATCAATGCTAATCACATGACGCCCAGACGGGATTTCTACATTCCCACTAAGAGCGCCTTATTTTGAAGGCCCTTATGAGGTGAGATGGACAGATGAGCGTTGGTCACAGGACTGTGATTTGCACCAGTGAGCACACATTCACAATACAGGTCGTAAAAGCCCAGAGTGATGTACTGCCCTCAGCTCTGACAAGATGATTAGAAGGGCCCGGCTGTGGAGGAGAGGCTCGACCCCGGAGCTGCAGCTGAAACGTCTTCATCACCTCTGACACCATCTAATGACACTCATTTGCAATCTGACCTCCTGAACATTACCAGACTACTAGAGCATGATAACAACACTAACTGCCCCCTCAATAGCTTTCAATTTGATGTTCTCCTAAAGGGGAAGTCCATTTCTGACAAATAACATCTTGGGTCGTCCTATAGATGTGCAGCACCTGAGTTTGCTCGGACACATTGGAGACATTTTAGTACACTGTGTTATGTCGGTATATAGTACTTAGAGGTTTTTTGAATTATCTAAAAGTAGCCATGTGTTTTTAATGAGCACATACAGGCCAGAAAACTTGCATCAAAGACCGCATTTGTCCAAAAGTCTGTGTGCAAGCAATTGATTTGCTTCTAGCATAAGTGAACAATGTTGTCATCTGTAGCATTAAACATAAGCAAAAAGTATATTGAAACGTCTGAAAAGGATGACATGTCTTGTATGTCAAATACCACATTCATGTTCTCAGTTAGGAGAGGAAAATTCAATTATGTTCCGTTTGGTTTAGTTTGAAGGGTACAATTTGTTCTCTGCAGGTTGTAGAGCACATGCAAAATAACAGGATGTTGCACATAAGCATGAAATGCTCTACATGCAAGCTTTTGCAAATACTATCAATGCACAGGGACCCAAACAGATATCGTAGTGTCTAACTTTATTTCATCAAAGCTGAAAATCTCCAGTTTATCACAAAATGTTGGCCCATCTTCCTTTAATCTGATCCTGTTAAACATCTGCACTTGCTTTCAGGTCGATACAACGTGCTGAAATACTGACAAGACAAAATATGACCCGAAAGGTTTCGCTTTCACGACCAAGTCCTGCTTCTTAAGATTTGCCCTTTCCTCTGAAATGTTCTCACCTACTTCACGCCACAATCAACTGGCAAGAGCTGTTGAAATTGATGGATTGTGCTTCTAATGGCATGACCTGATGCCATTATGGTTAGTGACACGTTGCACTCTAATGGTTGAGCTCTTTATGTGCATGTGTGTAAAAGTGTAAGAGTGTGAGCACATGTGTGTGTCAGATAGGACTGCAGGCAAGGGGAGGGAGGAAGAGACGCTAATTGAAATTCCTTCAGCCATGTCTGGCAGAGCCTTGGTGTCTGAGTGGCACACACACACACACACACACACACACACACACACACACACACACACACACACACACACACACACACACACACACACACACACACACACACACACATATGGACTCACACATATCGACACTGGCCCTGGCCCTAATAAAAGTGGGCTTTGCCATATGGAGGCCATGTGCAAGACTGGCCTCTCTGTGCTCGTGTGTGTGCGTGCGTTTGTGTGTGTGTGGGGGTTTGTGTGTGTGCTCTTAGCAGGAGAGGCTTGTACAGACCCACAGAGATGCATACAAACCTATTACATGTTTATAAAATTGGGCAAAAGATAAAGATCCATTTATAGAGATTACATTCCCACACTTGACATGCTGTAACAGACTCAAACACATACAGTAGACGTCATGCAGACTGTTTTATACTCTTAAAGAAATAAGCCCGTGATTTGGACGTCGCCCATCTAATTCAGTAAACTGGCAAGGAAACTCTGGACAGGTAAATGTGCGAGTAATGTTCTGTTCTCCCTCAACAACTACTGTCAATGTGCCTTCAGGCCGAGCTGCGCACAGACCAGAAACCTGTGGCAGTCCTGGAGAACTTCCAGATGTGTTTAACTAGAAGATAAAGTTGTGGACTACAGAATGATAACAGCTGATTTTCTGTTCTGGATCAGTCATAAACGATAATGATGACTCTTGCAAGTCTTTAAAGCGTTTATATTTGCTGGTGAACAGATAAGATGCTTTGTTGCTATTGAGGTGTTTCGGTATTTAAGTTACTGGAAAAACCAAAGCATACCTCAATTGTATTCAAATGCACATTCTTAACATGCACCTTCAGTCCTATTATCTCACAAGATGTTCCACATCTCTGCATTCAACGTGCGATCATACTGTTTCCTTACTTAAATCCTACACTACATCCCATTGTGCCTTAAAAGGTGCCAGTAGAGATTGTCAGTGCCCCACAGTGAAGGACTTTGATCTGCTGTGAAGCGTTTGACTGTGTGAATGTGAGAGTGATTGGTGCTGACAAAAGACCATAAGTGCTGAATGACCCTTCTCAGGATAAATAAAGGTTAAAATCATATTTAACTTTCAAAATGCACAACCGGTAAAAGGAGCAGGAATTGCATGGTTATTACTTTACATCTGAGCCCATAAAACCTCACACTTGGCATATTCCCACCACTATTATGGCTGCAGCACAATAGCGCTGCGGAGTAAATGGACTTTTCATTCTCCCCAGGGTTTCCGATAATAGCTGTGTTTTAGATATTTCCTCAAAGAAAAAGAACTTTCTCTGGGCGATTTCTAATTGGTTCCAGTGGATCATTTCTCTTTTTTATCTTCCTGGCTTACTAATTTCGTTTTTTTTCCTCTTCTCCACCGCTGTCAGGCTCCCTCTTTTTCGTGACTCTCTGTACTCCGCCTCTGCACATGGGGAAAAGGCTGAACAGCACGCAGCTCTGTTATTTGTTCATTTGCCCAGTCACCTGTCTTAATGTACTTGGTTGCCCAGGGTGGAAAACCAGAAACATCTCTCTTGCCAGATAAACACACGAGACTCAGTGGGAAGAAACCAGTCCATCATTTGCTCTCTTGTGTTCTCTTACATGTGGGCATTCAAATGTTGAACAGAAAACGTCATGTGAACTTCTCTTTGAGCGCCAATTTTTGGTGCAACTAAAAAGTCTCTGAATAAATTAAATGTCTCAAAATACATTAAAGGCTCTAAATTTCAATTAAAATATAAGAAACCGTTGAAACACATTCAGAAATGTAACAAAGTCGACTTACTGTATGGGTCGTCCTCACTTTTGGTGCCATTAACTTTTCCTTTTCTGTCAATGCGGAGGAAGAATTTCTGGAAGGAGAACAGTTTCCTTCTGCGCACGTCCCCTTGAAGATGGTTGTAGCTGCTCCGCGCGTGGCGCCCGATGACTGTCGCGGAGGACGATGACACATTGGTCGCCCGGGGCAACCTCGCAGAGGATGCGTGCAGCGGTGAGGGTGACGAGGAAGGTGGCTCTTGTGAGATGAAGATGTGAGGAGGAGCCCCTCTCGCTGCATTGTGGTGCTTCTCAGAGTCTGATGATGAAGCGGACAGGGGTGCGGAGGAAGAGGTACCGAGCAGGAGAAGCAGGATTAGGAAGGTGAAGGAGAGGATGAGAGTGGGGGGTCTGTAGCAGGGGCAGGTGGAGGACCAGGCGTGCGGTGCACCTTGTGTCACTGTCCATCTACACATGGTAGTGGAGCTGGGAGAGCTGTGGAGGTGCTCAGGGGCTGGGGCATGCTGAGCTGGGTGCAGGGAAAGGGAGCGAGAGTGGGAGAAACTCCCCCTGACCGACCGCCTACACCTCCTCTGCCCCGGGACCCCCAACCTTACTGGGACTGTAGGTTTAAAAACCGGTAGAATGACTGCGGTAGACGTGATGTGGCTTTATCGGTAAAATTATTGGAGATGGTGATGCAGCCTTCAGCTTTGTGGCTGGCTCTGCTGTAGTCTCCGTTGCTGTTTATTCCTCAGAAGCGCCGCAGGAATGCGTCAACATCCATAACTCAGATCACCTCGCCACGGGAACAACTTGGGGTTCGCCTCAAAGACCTCTCACCACCTCCTCCTTCTCCTCCAACGACTGCTGCTCTCTGCTCCTGGTTACTCACACTCACTCACTTAAAATCCCTTTTTAAAAGTTTGAAAGTACACCTACACTCTCATATCTAAAGACAAAAACACAACCCATTCATATACACTGTTGAAATCTGCTCCGCACACATGTCCCGAACCATTGATCTCCTCCAGTGCAGGGAGGTGGAGGAGGTCTGGATAAAAGATGACAAACTGCTCAGTACAAAATGAATAAATAAAATCTGGAAGTTAAAAAAAAAAAAGATTAATGCTGCTTCTCATAAAATGTCCCAAGAAATCCATGCAAGGCAGGCCAACCAAGAAAAGTGACAGAATCCAGACTGGACTTCTCCTGTTCTCTCTCTTTGTTCCTGCTGGTTTGAAGTTACTGGAGTGTGTAACTGAGCCCGGGAGCTAGTCTATCTCCCCTCTCTGTGCGTCTTGTCAGTGAGCTCCCGTATCTCTCCTCTGTCCTCTCAGAGTCTGAGCGCTGGAGCAGTGCGTTGCCTCTCTTCTTTCCTCCAGTGTGCGGCTCCCTCTCTTTTGGCCCCCTCCCTCTTTCCTTTGCCTCTCCCTCCCTCCTATCTCTATCAGCGGTGCGCTCTCTGGGTATCTGGAGTTTCTCTGAGGTGACCGAATCTTGTGTTTCCTTTCACCTTATTTATCTGCTGCATTTCCCCACATGTCATCTCTTAGTGTAATTGGATGTCTATGAAACCACTTGGCTTTGAAGAGCTGGATGCATTTATGTGTGCGTGCATGTGTGACTGCACATGTGTGTTTGTGTGTGTGTGTGTGTGTGTGTGTGTAAGGGGGGGGTCTTCCAACCCCGTTTTCCCTCCCTCTCCCTCTTTTCTCTGTCTCCTCCCCTTCCCAGACAAAACCCCACCAGTTGAGCAGAGCAGGTCTGAAATAAATCCATTCTTCATTTCTTTCTCCTTTTTGCTGAGCTATTCAATCCATCTTTCAAATATTTATGTCCTCCCGATTAGGACTGGGGGTTGTTTGAATTTGTTCTTAATGTTAATTTGAAAATGTGATTTGTTTTACTTATGGCAGCTCTAAATTGTTACATACTTTATGTCTAAAATATGCATTATTTCCTTTAAATAAGACTGTGAACGTAACAGCTTTTAGGTAGAACCTTTTTTAGTTTGTACCAAAAGAGTATTTATTAGTGTACATATCATAGTATGTATAATTGTTTTGTATTAATTATTGTGAAAGTTTAAAAGTTGACAGAAACGAACTCTTTTAAGTCCACAATTCAATTTTGAATAACAAATGAAGCGTAGCATTGTTTCAGGCAGTCACAGAAGTCCTTCCACTATCCTACCGGCCTCGGCTGCTTCATTCATGCTTCACAATGTCTGGCTCATTCACAGCTCTGCGGCTACCAGCTGACCTGTGATATCCAATCATATTCATGCAGGTGTACAGCGCGGCCATTATTAACCTGACACCTCACTTTATAACTGCCCCCACCAGCAGAGTCCTTGTTGCTCCCTCAGAGAGCAAATACCTTCCTGTCCAATGAAGTGTCTCTGACTAATTTTCCTGATTTCTTCTAATATTGGTGAAAAATACTCTCCTGAAGTGTCAGCTGTAAAAACATATACATTTTTTTACCCTGCATGACGCATAGCCTATGACGGGTAAAGGCCAAACATGTCTTCTCTGTGAAGATGCACAGAGCGGTTCTGAGCTAAGCAGCCCACAGCTATTTGGACAGATATACTGTCAATTGATTTCTTTACTTGGAGCTTAATCTTTAGATAAACATCTCCCAGTGTTTGGATGAAAGAAGTTGTGCCTTACGTGTGTCACCTTTCAATAATCTAGGTCTGCTGTCTGGTTTCAGCGTTGTTTAATTTCCTTTTCACATTGTCAGACAACAGCCATATCTCCCTCTCTTCTCCGCCTCTTCTCTCATAAGTTTACTCAGTTAGTTATTCCTTGGAACTTCTGACACAGGAGTCAGTGGTTCCAAGGAATAACTGAGTATGCAGCTGATTTGACAAACCACATTTTACTGTATTTCTAATTTCAAGTGTCAATCTGTCATGCCATTTTTCAGGAATTTCCAAATAATATATTATGGGTGTGCACCAACAACACAGCAATTTCTAAAATGAATGACCCTCTTGCACTGCCTTCCCTTTTAAGGTGTGTGACTCTGACTGAGATATACAGCTGTTGGATACCGACAATGTAGTCTTACATTAACACCTCTAAACACAATTCAGCACCACAGACAGCACTTTACAATGTTCTTCATGTTGCTGTAAGAATTATTAGATATTTGTATTAGATATATTGGATATTATAAAACTGTCGTAGTGGCCTGCCATGCATTTTATTTTTATTTTTTAAAGACATAATTCGATAAGATTTATTTCTGAAGGAGAGCTTAGCTTACAGTACGTTGATATTAGGCCCCAAAAAAATCTTGAAATAAAAACTGTTAAATTGTCAATAGACAGACTATTTGGATATTCGACGAAAAGATGAATTGAATAGTTGAGATATTTTCTTTTACAGACGAATAAAGATTGAAAATATTATAGTCATATTTGAAATGTGGGTTCTTGAAGATAGTGTTTATTTTAGAAGGTTTAACTTTTTGTATAATATAAGGTTTAAAGGCATGAACACCAACTATATGAATGAGAGCCTTGTAAAGCAATGATAATGGAAACTCTCAAAGGAAGAGTAAAGGAGTGGGAAGAAGAGACATGCAATTGCTAAGAGATAGAGGAAAACATCTGGTCAGTGTGTGGCTTTAATTTGGGGTGACAACACACAGCACACATACACAAACAAGTAAACAGATGATGTCTCTGACCCGCCTTTTATTGCACTCAAATGTTCAAACGGTTTAATCAAGCACAAAATCATTGAACTCATTATCAGTTGCTGATCAATTACTGCCTGATCCCTTCATTGCCTCGCCCCACAGCCTTGTTGTTCTGTCTTCAGTCCTAACAAGACTCAGATGTTGGAAGTCAGTCGTCTGAGGGGGAAAAGATGTTCTGTCACACCAGAAAACAATTTGTTCGATGCATATTTGTCTTTTTTCCCCCTGAACTACTTAAGAAGGATGTGGGGGCTTCCCTTCCCCTACTTCACATGTTATTAGATTTGCCTAAGTAACAAAAAGCTCAAAATGGATTTACATTATTTTATGAGAGAGTATTTTCAATCAATTAATTAAACAACATAATAAAAAAAAAACTTTTTGGGGAAGAAATGGTTCTTAATAAACTTGTGCTGATACATATTTGCATATTTGCCGTTTTAAGAACTGTATATTAAGGTCACAATGCAAAAACTGTGCCTCGAATGATGAACATATATATTATTTATTTTTTAACGATGTGGCCACATTTGTCAATCTTTTTCTCCCTTGTTGGGAAAAAATGAGTCAGTCTTATTGTCTTGTGGTTTTGGCTTAAACTGCTGTTGGAATCTGAGGCCAAACTTCATAGTCGAACAGAGTGAGGGTCCTGATCCAGGGTCAGCACAGAAAGCAAATGGCTACGATCTTTTTTCTTCCCAAAGAGCGACACAGACTTAAGATCGGTAAATGTGAGCGGCTTTACAGATTCCAGCTTAGATGAGTTGACATAGGGTCTCCTCTGGCTCCGCTGGTCATGCCTTGGATAAATCTTGATTGCTCATGCCTAGGAGGAGAATGCCATTAGCTACCAGCAGTTCGGCTCAGTGATCCTAATTGTTTCATTGCGGTTGAGCTGGTGGCTTTGAACGCATTATGGTCTTCAAACCAGCTCTACAAAAATGGCCCTGGCAGTTAACTTTAATTACAGACACATTAAAACACTTATAGACAAAAGGGAGGTCTTGCGATAATGTACAGATACATTACAGTTAAGGTCAAGTTGCTAAATGGATCATTCTCAGTGAATGCAAAACATCAGTGACAATCTTAATAACGCAGAGCACTTTCATTACGATCTGTTTTGTTCCAGCTTTCTAATTTAGAGCCATGATTTGAAATTAAACAACACATTCCTTTCAGAAAGGAGCTGTTCCCTTTCTCACTGAGTGTACTTTTGTCACTCCATTGGAATGAAATATGCACTTAAACACACTGAAATTGAAAAAGAACACAGATCAGTGTGTTGACTTTACCAATAAGTGAAACACAAGTAAACACCTCTTTCTGAGACGGGCCCTGAAGTTAGGCCAGACTCCAGAGCAAAGAGACGCGACCTGAACATCGCATAAACAAAGAAGTTCTGAGACACTGACGGAGAACAATAAGACTGATGCTTTGGTTTAAGGCTATTTTATGATTCACACGCTCCAGTATTTCTGATGGTCTCCTCATGCTGGTTCTGAATTTAAAAAGGCAGGTTTATAATCACGAACACATCCGCTCCTTATGCTACAAATTACAATAGAGACAGCACTGTCTTTGTGGGAAAATTGGTTGGAGTTTACGTCATGATTGTCAAACTGTGGTGTTGACGATCTGGATTTTGTCATTAGCATGAATGTTTAATTTGCACGAATTTTTAAGATCTTATACAGCAGACTATTTTCTTTTGTGGTGAACTTTTTAAGTCTTACCGGGTTTATCATCCAGATGATTATTGGATGAAGATATCACAACCACAGATTTCTTGAAAAAGACAATCTGATACTTCTGAATATGTGCACCTGTGATCAGAAGACTACACAGGTCATTAACAATGGGAACATGCAGGCCTGCTGTTCTTCCTCATCCACAACCGTCCTCCAAAAGCGACAGTGAGAAGGAATAGTTTGTTTCTTAGGGCCATGCTGAAAGTTATGACTCAATATGAAGTCATAACAGAGCTAATTATACATTTGAAAGAAAGTGCTGCCATATTTTGGTTTTTAGACACCCAACCTAGCATCTGTGAAACAGACATAACCTTCTGACATCTGCCTTACAGATATATCCATACACCAACAGCTCTGATGCCATAATGAGCACTGCAGTCAAACAAACAACCGCCAGAAACACACACTCTCCAGGAAGTGTGTGCAGCAGGCGTTGATTTTAATAATGGGTTGATCGGAAGTATTTGATGCTTATTTTGTGTATTGGCTCTGTAAGCTCTGAATAAACTAACATCATCACTAACGTTGGATGTGGTTTATCATAAAGAATTACTGTCAGTGGAAACACAGAGCCAACATGGCAGTCAAAGGATTAAAATAGATTAAACTGGGGCTGGCACAAAAGTGGAGACGCTAACAAGGCGATGTTTAAGCAAAGAATGTCCTGTACATTGAAATCGTTTAAATTCTTAAATAACAAAAAAACTAATTTGACCTCATCAGAGTTATTAATGTTAGTAAACCTACATTTTGGAAATGTGTCCTAATGCACCACTGACAGGTTCTTCTAACGGTGCTTCAACAAGCTTCCATATTGGAATCACTACATGGAAGTAATTACCATGTGGCCCCACAGGAGACTAAAAAGCTGAAATGTTT